GAACAGGGAGAAGCGTTACCGGACGGTAATCGACAGGATCAGATCGACTTCCTCCCTTGTGAATGGGGGTTATAATACTTCGTTTCCACGTTGACAGAACTATGTTTCCTTCTAGACAACGCTGAAAGAATCCGGCAAGTGTTTGGGCTAGGTGCACGGCTGCTACCTGCAGTGCAGTAGGGTGAATATTATCCACTCCGGGGAGCTATGTGTACGCACGTTTAGTAGCTTTTCAGCACCGTTTCTGTTGTGAATGTGATGTTGGATAACACTGATGATGTGGTGACAGAAGCAAGTGTTCGAGGCTTATATCCCTTGGAAATTAAGTACTGGGCCCGTAAGGCGTTGGACGCCTATTTTGCTTGTGTGTGTACGCACCAATCGTATTGAGTGGTGGGATTCCGCGCTGTGCCTTTCGAAGTCCATTCTCGTATCTGTAAAAAAGCTGGTGTCTCGAGCACAATCGTTTCGCTAGCTCCCGTTGGTGTGCTAACTTGTCTTCACGAACCAACTGTACAGAATAATTGCGCTGAGCTACGTACGCTGTCCAATTTTCTGCGCTGAGGTTGCTTTTGTAAAGGCGCCATGTCCGATCCATCAAGGCCATAAATTTTCGAGTTCGGCTTATCAGGAAGGATTGTGGCTTGATGGGACGGTGAGAAGCTTTGGCTCTGATGCCTTGGTGACAAGTGACGCGAAGGTTTTCAAGAATTTTTCCATCTTATCTCTGGGGTGCACTCAGTCATGAATGTCCAACTAGTATTTTCAACGAATGCGGACAAAACCTGATAATGCGTAATGGATCGCATTCTTTCGGGCTCTGCATCGGGGTATTCGGCGTAGCAAATGTAATCGAACAGTAAAGTCGCGCGATCGCTTCAACGCAAAGGACTGCATACATTTAGCCCATCAACGATGTGTTCTTCGCTGGTGAGCACTAGATCTAACACTGATGGTTTATTCGCTGTTCTGAAACTGGTGGGATCGGTGACGTGGTTATATAGGGGTGTGTTATAGATTAGCTCTTGTAAATAGACCTTGAACTATTCAGCCTCGGTTGCCGGAGTTTCCAAATCATGAATGTTGAAATCATCTCTAATGAGTATATGGGTGTATTTCTGATTTATCAAAGTGCGAAATGCAGTTATCAGTCTGCGGTCCATCTCCGCAGTGGATTTGGATGGTCGATAAACTACGGATACGATGCATGTATCATCGTCCTTCAAACACGATTTGCACAAAAGGAAATCAGTGACACACGTTTGAGAATCATCTACGTGGTCACAAAGAAGGCTCGTTTTATTGTAGATGATCATTCTCCCCCTACCCATTCTGCCGTTCCGGGAAAGTGACATACCGAGTAGAGCGATTTCGACGTCGGCAATTTCACAGCTCAGCCACGTTTCGGTGATCATTATGATATTTCGAGACTCGGATACCTGACGGTGACGGAGTTCGACTAAGTGTGGTCAGTTTCTCGCAAACCAAAGTGAATCAGTGGACGTCGGATTAAGGCTGGAGATTGTGCCGACCGTTGAGAGGTCGCCCACTAGCCGCTTATTTGCGCAGTAGTTGTCATTTGCAGTTCGGTCGGGTTATATAACCACTTTCGGCTGTCCTGGCACTGATGATTTCCCGTGTCTTGTCTTATTCCGTCGGATGCTAAGGTTGTCATTTCGAAGCATATCAGGGATCAAAATCAACGTGAACTCATGAGAGGTCAATAAGCTTGAAACATCAATTAATTGTAAGGATAAAAACCTAAGGGCAGTTTTGAGCTCGTGGTACAAGTGAAAATAAAGTATTCGAAACAAGCTATCTTTGAGTAGCACCGCCGCTCGAAAATGAGTAACGGTACATGGAAGAAAGAGAAGGAAAACTCCAACTAGTATCCTTCAGTAGCCCTATATGGACATTCAGGATTTCAGCTAGAGTAATTTGAGAAAACGTGTTCAAATCGGGAAGAGATGTAAAGCACACTGCGAAATCTGCACTCAGAAGTGGGGAGTTTAAGGATGAAATTACCAATAGCCGAAAGAAAGGAGAAATGGTCTAAGGAGCGCTAAAAAGTCGGTTATCCTCTTCTTGAAGCAAATGATTCGGAGTGCAACAAGTCTCTAGTGGACCGCGCTAAAAAATATGCTGAAGGACTTGAATGCGGAGAGTAAACGGACACCGGTGACGCTTGCTTCCAGGACCCTCATGATCGTGATATAATAAATACTGGAATGAGGAGAGGCTAAAGAGACGGCTGGCTCTTCCTTTCAAAACCCGCTTAAAGATAGAAACTGTAAGGTTTGCAAAGACAAATTAATACAGAAGTAGAGACAAGCTAAAGAGAAATATTTAGTTCCTCTCGCAGAACTCATCTGATGGTAGGAACTGTCGAGTTGGCGTCTCCTTTTGAACTCTAGTATGAAAACGCACACTTGAATTTGGGAAAGTCGCAGCTCAGTGCAAATGAAAAAGGATTCTAATCTGACAGTCTGCTTAGATAGTCAACTTATAGTGTCGCTTTTGCGCCTATACATTAGTCTCTTCTTCATACATTGCGTTTATATTGCGATTTAGTGTCACTGTGACGCACTTAGCAAGCATCTTCCCGAGTGATTGTTTAGACTCGCGGGGTCGCATTTCAGATGTTCGAATGCCTGACGAGGTAGAATTTCTTGCGTACGCCTGTTTTAACTTTACATGTAGAAAACGAAGTTCTCTCATTCCTGATGACGTGTTCCATTCTGAGTAAAGCGAATAAATCCTATCAGACGAAGTTGAACAGGAACTTCGTGACTAGTTTACTTCCCCGGTGGCACAATAACTCTAACCCAATTATCATAAATCGTCCGGAATAGGTGGGTGTTGCTGATTTGGTAAATAGGGCATTGATGAATCTACGCTAAGCGTTCACACTCGTGTGACTGAAGTGTTTAAACGAATAAGAATTTTCACTGCTGAGTTGGAGTACCCGCTGAGTGTCTCAAATGGAGACAGTTTCCTCTGTGACAAAACTGTCATTTTTATCACGGGTACTGAGCGTTACGGTACCACTCCCTAAACGATGCACCGCAAGATCGGTTTCTTCCAGACTTGGGTGAGAGTGGAATCCGAAGTATAATGGCTTGATCGCTAGCATGGAGAGTAGCATGAATTCAGGATGGTCGACATGTAAGGTAAAATTCAATCGGTAGACACCACGGTTTAGAAGTTGCACGCATAGCCTTTTGAACACGACCAGTACTCAAATAGACAAGGAAAACTACCAGTCTTTGTTTGGTATCATCAGGTAGAGATGTTGGTTGGGACCGCTACCTTTTTGGCCACAGAGTCACGACGGGCAACGCTTAGCACAACGAATAATGACTGGTTAGAGGGTCGTTCGAAGTGTTCATTGTGCGATTGGATTGTGACGCGCAACCTCAGTGTGGACCACTAGTAGCAACACATAAAACTAGTAGTTAAAATGACATATCAATTAGTCATTTACCGTGGTGCCAAGCGTTGCCTATCTTGAACCGGATCCAAATGAGTAGAGGTATCAGATAACAGAGTAATCCACCAGGGTTCGAGGCCTGCTATTGCTACGTGATGAGATATAAGATCGAAACGCATGGTGAAGTGCAGTGTTTACAAGCAGGCTACGCCCAGCTTCCAAAACGACCAGATGTTCAGCACAGCACTCAACTGATCCAACATGCTATGGAACACGGAAGCTAAGGTGTGAGCTCTGACCTGAAATAATGGCGACCAAATGATGTGCTGCTATGATGAAACATCTCGATCTCTAACATCAAACATGGGAGAAATATGGGCACAGACTGGAAGTGAGTATAATCAAGGAAGCAGTTACCGGCTGCAGTTCAACTGAACGTCTTGCGCAAGTAAAGGGAAGTGAGAGAAGAGTAAGACCTGGCAATCAAATGGTCCAGTGAGGTCCTGAATAGGTTCCTAAAGATTTTTTAAAGTCCGAGTTATATTGACTCTCCTAGTCAGAGCGAATGAAGACACTTTTAGGTGATAGCACTCGAATCACAGTATTAAAATGAATTCGGAATGACATGAACTAAGAGATCTAGTCGTTAGACGTACACGCGAGCTGAGGCTGAAGAAGAAACGCATAACCTCGCACGACTGCAACGAGATCCAGAAAAGATACACTGGCCCATAGCAACAGTTCGTTTATTAGCTAAACTAAGGGCGAACTTACCTTCCACATGTTCATATTTGGATTCAGTACCATAGCAGCGTAAGATATAAACTATGGAGGAGGGTGAATGTCAGTACGGCACATGAGTTGCCACGCAGTGACGAAATACTGAGGAGAGCTCAGCCGAGAGCAGTAAGGCTTAGGACAATAGGTAGAACAGTGTCGCGGAGGGATTAAGTGGTGTGCGTTGAGATATAACAGCGATGTCCATGAGGAGGGCTCACTTGTGACGTATGCGATCGATTTCAGTTGCCCAATAGTGACAGTTTCGTTACGTCTTCTAAAGATAGATCCAGGCGAGCTCTGTGCAACTTTGACAGAAACGCTAGCAAGGTACGAGGCACGAACACACCCTCCGCGCAACGATTGAGTTACTAGGGGGTGAAGGCAGGTATGCCGCGGACACTTAGTAGCATGAAACAAAACACAGATTAGGGAAGAGGACTATTAGAGAATGCATAACGGACAAAAGAAAAAAAAGCAGGATAGAAGGGGTGAACGATGGTGATACTAAGCCGCAAACATCGCTGTCAACAAGTAGATGGACTCATGAGCAGACTCTAGAGTTCAAAAGCATAATCGAAAAGCGCCGCAAAAGAAGAGGTCACAGTGTGCAGCTTAATAAAAGACCTTAGTCGAGTTCGCTGAAGATAGTTAGACTAAGTCTCATGCTAAATGTGCAGATAGCGCATAGCATGATCATTCAGAATTTTCCGAACAGTCATCTGTAGGTGAAAAGGTGCACTTATTCAAGCTGCATTCCCTAAGTCGGCACCTCCCATCTAGAAGAAAAGGATTTGAGGGAAAGATGTATATAATAATCTTTACGTCGATAGATTAAAAAAGTAGGTTGACATGCTCAAAGATCATGCAAAATGCTTTCAAATTGACATTTCTCTTAGATTACACCTCGGTGGCCCGAAAATGGTCATCATCCACAGTTGAGTAAACATGCCCTTCAGCACTGAGGAAATCCAAATCCTCCCTACAAAAAGGAAAGTGGAAAGAAGTTATACGTTTGGTGGGCAAGTTTGGTGAGCAAATAATCTACTGTCACAAAACCGAAGAAAGCAAAAAAGAGTGGTAGGGTAAAGAACCAGCTGTTAGTTTGATCCAGACATGACGACAACCGCGTAAATGCCGCAACAACAAAACGCAAGATAGTGCGAAGGTGACCAACACCAGGAATTACCAGAAATTACTAATGAGGTGGATTTTTACTGATTCGTCTCAGCAGCCCACAAGTCATGCAGACTAAAGACCAACCCGGAAAAGCACCAGACGCCTGGTTCGTCCTCTCAGAGGTCGTCAGTGGTGTATATTCCATCGGCCCTGTGCACAGAACCGAAACCATGACCGGCAACTGGTCAGTAGTTTATGCCACTAACCCATGGGTGGCAAACGCATAACTTACAAGTCAACTGAAATATAGCGCGACCTATCCTCCACTGCCATGCAGTGGACAGTGACTGGACTACATGGGTCCCTACTTCTACTTCCCAGCAGCTGTGTAAGCATGGCATTTAAAGGCTGAGAGCGAATTTTCGACTATTAATGGTATTAATGATGGAGTAAATCGTAAAAAGGATAGCCGACAAGAACCGAAAAACTACATCGAGAATTGTCCCCGGTAAATTCAAATAATGACGATCGATGAACCGTACCAGCAACGCCCCCGGCCTTTTTGGTTAAGCGGAACAAAAGCAACTTAGTGGTTAGTACTGGAGCTCTCTAGACATTGCGAATGCTGCTATTGACAGATACCAAAGAAAAAAACGATGATAATTTTGTCAATGAAACACCTTATGGCTTGCCACCTGGAACTTAAAACCGTACAATGGAAATGGAAAAACAAAGGACAGTGGTGCCTAATTAGCCCTAAATCACCATTGCTCGCATTTATTTCACAGAAGAACTTTCTCGTTCGCTTAAGGCACCCAACCTCCGTCATTCTCTTTTATAATTATGACAAATGCGAGCAATGGTGATTTACGGCTAATTAGGCACCACTGTCCTTTGTTTTTGCATGCCCATTTTACTGTTTTAAGTTCCAGGTGGCCAGCCAAAAGGTGTTTCATTGACAAAATTATCATCGTTTTTCTTTTTGGTTAAATCGGCAGTCTTATAAGATCAGTATCACAAAGTTGCAGGTGTTCGATCAGGTGCCACCTGAGTGGAGGACGTCAAAGACAACTGTCTACTACACACCCGGACTTCCAGTTACCTGTTTCCGGCGATCTGACAGTATAATTTGATCAAATACGACGTCGATTTGCTAGCGATCTAGCAAAATACGCAATTTATTTGTTTATTATCACTACCGTTAACAATATTTTACTTCTTTCTATTTAATATGCTATATTTCAAGGTTGGTTGCGACTGGGTCAATCTCCAAGCTAATGAATATGCCCATGCAAGGTCTATTGCCACAGAATTACTGGCATGCAATAAAAGTGCCGGACACGAAGGAACTGAATGATGAAACGGGCTGGATGGCTTGAGTGCACATGCTGCACATGTTATGTGGACCCAACGTCCCAATCATTATTAGAGGCTTAATTACGGAAGGCTGAAAACCCGATTCACTCGAGTGCACATGTACTCAGACCAGACAAAACGCACACGTTTCAGTCAGCCTTCTAACTCGTGTAACATGCACTTTGTTTAGCCTTTGCACCCAGAAACAGTCTTGTTTCCAACCAAACACGCATTGTTGTATCCAAGCAACATTCATTTTTCTGGATAACTCTCGCCAAACTTCCAACATTTCTGCTCAGTTTACGGACTTTGCACATTTACATAAACCATGTTTCTTGTTTCCAGGGTTTGCTTACGCAAACCCTTCCAAGGAAAAACCCCCCTTCATCTCTGTTTCGTGATATAAAAATGAGGCTGTAGAACGCTAGAATCGCCTTCGCTTTGGCCAGTAAAAGCGCCTGTGGCAAAGGCCTGTCTTGTTCTTGATTTAGTCTTGGGTTGGGAAATCGTGCGTAGAAACTTTGCGTTCGGTCTAAGAACCTGTTCGACTCGCGTGAATTAATCTTTCGCGGCTAAGTTCCGAGAACCCACAGATTTCGAGATTGTCAGTTACCGTGCCGTGCGAGAAATAATTCTGAGTCTCGTTCGTTCATCCGTCTAGGAGAGTTGGTATTACATTGTTAGTACCTGACGTATTGAAGAGGCAGTATTCAACAGCATACTTATAATAACAGTCCTAAAGAGGAGTTAAAGAGGTGATGACTTTGTTGCTTTTAAGCCATAGCGGCACGCAGCCAGATAAGGCTTGGAAACGGAGGCGAAGCCTTTCGAGGGAATACCCCACATGGAACCAGGTCCCCTGGACATTTGGTTGTATATGCATGCATCATAATTGCCAACTTCCCAATCTTCCTGATACAGTTAAGTAACCAATCGCTATAAAAATTCATTTGGGAACAATACTGAAAAACGAACGTATATATATATATATATATATATATATATACATAACTATATATATATATATATAGTGCATATATTCAACACTTTACCAATTACAATACGATTGGTTAAGTGCCACAACACATAAGAGGAAAAAAGTAGATTGAAAGGGAAAACAACTGTTAGGGTAGAAGAGTCTCACAGCAAGTGCGCCATTGCATACGGTCCTTGGCCATATCCTCTAGCGTTTGCAACCAGATGTGCTCGGGTCCTTTGGTACCCAACCCGGGAGTCGGGAAGGCCCAACAACAGCCAGCTTCAACATTTGCACCTTAACGCACTGGATCCAAGTCTTACATTACCCTCCTTTTCGTCGTTTCCAACCCACGCCTGTGCTCGCAAATAGGGCTCTTCGTGGTAGCCACTGGGTAGGCATGCGGAGCACATGCCCAAACCAGCGAAGCCTCCGCAGTGAGATCGTGCTATGAATCGGTCGGCGGAATTCGTTAGATCGAAAGACTCGCCGACGGAGTTCCTTATTACTGATGTGGTGCTGCCATCGAACACCAGCAATGCTTTGCAGGCAGCGGTGATCGAAGACAGATAGCCCCTGAACATCGCTTTTCCGAACGGGTCAAGTCTCAGCCGTACAGCAGAATCGCTCGTACCGTAGCATTGTACACTCGCCCCTTGAAAGCGATGCTGAGGTCACGACGAAGCCACAGGTTATCGAAAGCGACTCTAGTCTTGGAAACACGCAGGGAGATTTCATCTGTGGAACCGCCAATACTGACAACTTTCAAGATAAATGAATTTGTTGACCCCACTTTCAGCGGATGCCCCGAAAGGATGAGAGAAGAACATGCACTTGGTCAGTCCTGTAATATGACCTTAGATTTGGAAGGGGCAAAAGCCAACCCAAATTGGGAGGCGGACATCTGCAGTCTAAGTATGTGCTGGGCGACTTGGGAGGACTCGCAAATCACAGCGATATCATCAGCGTACTCTAAGTCCCAAGGCGGTCCCCAGGGAGCTGTTCAACACCGCAGCATAGAGTTTTCCAGGGCAGTATCCAGGATCACGTCCATAGCGAAGTTAAACAATAATGCAGACGCTGTGAAACCCTGTTTAACACCGTTAGTAATACTCCGTATGCTCGCACGTGACCCGAAGTTTGATGGTAAATGGCACGGAGAATGATGATGTACTTCCCAGGTACTCCCCACTTCAGTAAGCAGGCCCAAAAAGCCACTCTGTCAACAGAGTCAAACGGGGCTCGAATGTCCAAGTATATGACTATAGTTGGTCGACTGAACGAATGGCGATGCTCAAGTATCTTGCGGATCGTAAAAATGTGATCAAAGCAACTGCGACCCGAGCGAAATCCAGCTTCTTGATCACGCAGGTGCTGCTCTCGTACGCAACTGAGCCTCCGCAAGAGGAGGGCAGCAAGCAGTTTGGATGCGACACAAATGAGACTAATGCAGCGATGGTTGGAGCAAATGATCCGGTCTCCTTTTTTGTCAACAGGTACAACATCCGCTAGATTCCAGTCGGATGGAATGGTTTCAATAGTCCAAATCTGATGAGAGAGAGATGTCAGTTCACGAGTGAGAGCAGAACTCTCATATTTGAAGAGGGCACGAGGTAATTCATCTGGGCCAGGTGACTTGTGGCGCTTCAGTAGAAGAAGCTCATTGGAAACCTCAGCCTCTGTCGGTGGAGAAACATCCATGCACCAGGGAGCACTGTGAACCTCGGAAGATTGACTCGGTTGCGCTGGTGGCCAGTCGAACTGATCTTCAAAGTACTCTGCCCATCGTACCAGATGGCTGTGAATTAGTTCACCGTCATTTTCAAGCAAACCCCCACTCACTGTTGGTCTTCTGCCTCCTGTGGAGCGAATAAGTTGGAAGGGTTGGCGGGAGTTTCCTGATGAAGCTGCCTGCTCCATCTAAACGACGCGCTGTGTCCACCAAACCTCGCGATCCTTCCTGACGAGCTCTCTGAGCTCAGCACCTGTGGCTCTGCGTAGTGCATTGTACTCAACTCCGGCGCGAATTGTTCGACGACTTTCCATTAATCGGAGAGACTTTGTAGAGATCCAATGACTAGCAGCTCGTCTAGTGAAGTCACAGACAAAGGCAGCGGACTTTCGTAAGGCACTCTGGTTCTGTGCCCAATGTGTCTCAACATCGGATGATAGAGGACGTACGTTGGAGGCTAGTGTGTTCTGAAATGCGCCGAGAACATTTGGGGTGGCGAGCTTGTCTGTGTCAAGCCGTTCCCGGCGACGCTGTTGGGTGCCTCCAAAGCGCAGAACAAACAGCACATACGAGCGCATGATCCGAAGTCAGATAAGTGTTTCATATTGATTTGCAGTCCGTTATGCAGCTTCGTCAACGGTAACTAACAACGATGTGGTCAATCTGCGTCCAAGTTTGGCCAGGCGCCGGAGGTCGCGAGGTGGCTCGTTGGCGCCAGGAATGTCGGAAATTTGTGCTGGAAGGGAACAAGCCATGGTCGGCGCGCAGTTAAAGGAATCGATCGCCGTTGCCCGTCCTGCGAGTCCCGCAGCGATGTTGACCCCCAAGTTTGCGCCCATGAACCTCCAGTCTACAGACTTGCGAATTTAAGTCTCCGGCGAGTATCACGATGTCAGTGCGGCATTTCTTGCGGAGGAGGTCGGTGAGTTGGCGACAGAACTCGTCTTTAGCTCCGCCAAGGCTGCAGTCCGTAGGAGCGTATGCCACCACAATGAATAAGCAGCGCCTCCTGGTTCCGTGGCTAGAAGACCGCACTAAGCTTTCCAAGCGGACTGCACAAAGACGGCTGTTGACCGGGAAACAGTCAATGAGCGCTGCCTCAGCACGCGCGCTTAACGCAACTCCTAGGCTGGCGCAACCAGAGGCTGTCGCTGTCGCATCTCCGGATAAGCGCAAGGTGAATGCGCAATTGGAACTTGGGGATGGTGAGAGCAATCGCAGCAATGTGTGTTGGAGTCTTGTAAACGGGTTTCGATTAAGTAGCAAACATCGATTGCGAGAGCTTATGCTTGCAAAAGCAGCTAGTAAACCAACCTGCATGAGAGTTCGAACATTGAACGTAGCTAGCTTGAAGTGCGAGCGGGGTGCAATAAAAGCCTTGCTGTTGGTATTGGAATGTGTGCGATCGGTTTTGAGCGGTTCATTCATAAGGCTAAAGGTACCCATTTTATTTGGAAGACTCGAAAATGGAGGGGGTTGCCAAGAACGGGTTTAAATAAACGTGGAGCGAAGAACGTGGTTTGCGGTTTGTCCGGCTGACAGCACCACGGTCAAAGAGAGAGGGTTCAGAGAGCGAAAAACGTGAGCAGTCGTAAATCCATCATTTCATGTGTTGTGTGGGCATACAGCTTCCCGACTGCCCAGGCCGAGGAAGGGGGCCCCACGCAGAGCCTTTGGTCATAGGGACCTGAAAAGCAAGGCAGTGGGTCGAATTCAGGGAATGGCGCCCATTGGGAGCCGGTGACCGATTGCTCGATTCATACGCCTTTCGCTAGGTTGGCTACCAAACAGCGGTCCAATACTCCGAGTAATTCAGCGTCAAACTGAAGGGTTACAATGCCATGTCGCAGTGTTGTTAAACGGCTGGCTGGTCGAACAACCTCCTCGTGGTGCCAGCTGGGTGGTTCGGGATTTTCCCGTTCCAGCAAATGGTTCGGCGGCAGTGTTCCAGGACGTGGTGGGTTTTCGCCTGGTAACCGTTCTCCCTATAAAAAGCCACATATGTCCGTTTAACAACACTGTGACGTGGCGGACGTGACTCGCCACTAAATAAAGTCACTGCCCCTTGCTTCATTCTGGCGAAGCATTGTATTCCAGCAACGTCATGCTGTACTTCTGGGGAGCATTGGGCCCCTGTTTGACAAAGGAACAAACGAAAGGCGTATGAACTGAGCAATCAGTCACCGGCTCCCAATGGGCGCGATCCCCTGAATTCGCTCCGCTGCCTTGCGGACAGGCTATTCAGCCAAAGGCTCGGGGTGGTGTCCCCTAAGTCAACACCCTACTTCGGCTTGGGCAACCGGGTAGTATCTCGCCCTCTGAGGAAACCATGGACATTGTTGTGTTGTGTTTTATTTTACTATTTCTGTACCTTCGTTTGAATCCCATGGTTACTGATGGTATTATGTCTATTCGTAGACTTTTGTAAATATAGTGTTGTTAAACACATATGTGGCTTTTTATAAGGAGAACGCTTGCCAGGCGAAAACCCACCACGTCCTGGAACACTGCCGCCGAAACTTTCGATGGAACGGGATAACCAAGAACCAGCCAGTTAACACCTGTTAAAACTTCTCATTTGCTGCAACTCCAAAACACGCACCCAATCTATTTCACACGACCTCAAACCAAAACGAAGGAAAAAGTCAGAACGACCTTCCCCAAAATAATGTGTTAACCGCAATCAAACAGGAGCTGTACAAAGGCGGCAGACCATGGTCATATTTATAGGTCGCCACATGACTTTCGACCTCTAGAATTAGACCAGACAGCAAAGTTAGTTGTTCCCCGCATACGTCTTCTGTTGCCTCATATTTGTGACTAACTTGAGTTGACACTGAATCATGTGCTTAATGGCTTTTCCCTTATCTGTACAATATGCTCGTTCGTGAGACACCGTATCGATCCTTCGCCATTGGAATGACTAGCTTTGATCGATCAATTGTCAACCTTTCTGCATAGCCTGTGTATATGCCCTAAGTTGAATCATGTGACTAACTTGCACACATCAACGCTCGATGGCCGGTTGGGCATGCGGCGTGAACATTGTTTTGTACCCGGATTGCCGTGCGTGTAATCACTACCGTTAGTGAATGGAAGCAGTCGCGGGGCTTCGACACAACAGATTCTCTGGCAACAGAGGTGTTGGATAATCATGGTTATTTCATTCGAGCAGTTGCTGTCCCTCCTTCAGCAGCAGCAGCAGCAGCAGTTTCAGTTTGAAAAGTCACAGAAGTTATTTGAATTGTTGTCACCAAACCTCAACATCCAGGTGGGATGGCAGCCGGAACCGAGGCAGACATCACAGGAAATTGCAGCTGAATGTCACAGGCCGCTTAGTTTGAACAATTATCCAAAAAATTGTTGAAGTTTCAGACCCCAGAAGTGAACCGCAGTTCTGTCACACAGCTATTAATGGCCAAAATATGAATCCAGATGTGCCGGACCAGAAGCCCCTGGCTACGTCTTAGAACGAAGGTGAGAGGTATTTTACGGGAAATTTCGCTCACAAAAGTCCTTTTGCCAAAACGCGCACAAATTCATATGCAAGCATACTCCAAGAGTACAAGTAAGTTATATATATATATATATATATATATATATATATATATATATATATATATATATATATATATATGAATGTCAGAGGAGGGCCAATAAAATCGGTCATCTCGGGCCTGCGTTGCTACTGACGTTACGTTGACGACATATTCTGTATAAGTGATCAGACGAACAACTCGCAGAATGTCGTCGTGTTTTAACAAGGCACACTCCAAGGCCTTTTCACAGCTGAAGAAGAAATTGACAACCAAATGCACTTCTTTGATGCAAACCTAAAGCGACGAGAGGACGGATTAATCCATATAGCATTATATAAAAAGCCGTACTGGACAGGCCAATACACACACTTTTGGAGTTTTGTGCCAATTCGCCGTAAAAGAACACTAGTGCATGCTCTGGCAAATCGTGCACGGAAGATCTGTAGTGAGGACAATTGAAGATGAAATGAAGCGAATCAGGCAAACGCTTCTCGAAAACGCTTATACTGAACGATTCATTCAGTCTTGTAGCCCAAGACCAGGAGTACAAATGGTAGAGAAGAAACAGCTATTTCTCCAGCTTCCCTTTAAGAGTGACATACCGGCTGAGATATGCACACGATGACTGATACAGACTTGCCGAAGGACCTTTAATGCAGCTCAGCTTAGTGTCGTTTTTACAAGCAGTTCGCTCATTGTTTCTGGATTCAAAAACAAGAGCAACACCAATCAATGGTAATCTACCAGTTCACCTGCTCCTGTGGGGCTAGGTACATTTGGGGCACGACCAGGCAGTTGAAAAAGCGAATCAAGGAACATTTACCAAGGTCGCTCGTCACCCAACAGGACAAAACTAAGTTAAGCGCAATAAGTAACCAACTGATTTGCACTGGTCATTTGATTAATAAGCGCGTCATTTGAGATCCTCTATCGAGTGCCATCGCAGCTACACCATCGGTCAGGTGCTCGACTGCTTGTTACCGCTGAAGCGGTATGCATCAGGTTGACAAAACCTAATCCATGCATCCAGAAGAAGCATGTTCAAACATTACAACTACCCTAGCCAACCACTAACAAAGATGGATCGGACCTCACCCAGTGGTGTCACATACCTTCAGTCACTTGACCACATCACACATGTTACGTTAACTATTTTAAAAATTTGATTCAAGCAGTAGTTACTCTCTGTTTCCCGAACGAACTCTTCTCAATGTATATTTCTGTACCAAGCCTAATGATGAATAAATCGAAAACAATTATTTGGTTTAAGCGTACCGCTTGCGTTTCTTCTTGCAATATACAATAAAAATGAACATACTACACGATATAAACATACCGAGTTCAGAGGACAGCTTAACACCCTCACACGCATCCGAGCTCTAAGTATACTCAATAATCGCCATATGCGAATCACTTAGTGGTGCATCCAGACGTTCACAATAAACGACAATTTAGGAATTGCCTAGCTGTGTACAAAGAAGCATCGAGTTAGACGGATAAGTTGTCAGGATAAGGGCAAAGTGGTTAGCAACCTGTTGGTCCCATGGTACCATGAAGCATCCCGATAGCCGGTGAAATCGCGGACGACACGGCGACAATGTAGGATACTCACTAACCAGACGGAGTTTACATAAACAAATAAACATACATTTCAAACCACCAACTTTGATCACTTTAATAAACTCGTACCTTATTTGTCGCTCAGGGATACCACGAAGTTTTTCACAGAGTTGAAATACCGGAATACCCCGTTCTCCCACGAACGCTCGTACGATAGAGAGAATCTGGTTTTGCAGCACGGTAAGGCCATTGCTGTTGGCTCCCAGACCTGTGTACGAAGTGGAAGAAGAAGTGCCGGCAATCTTCTGTTCGAAACCCAAATTAGATTCCTCTAGTTTAGACTTGGTGAGTTGCATCCGAGCGAAGATGACTTCCAAAATGTGGGTCGTTATTTCATTGATATCATTAATGGGAATCGCCTTGAAGTGCAATGGAAAAGACACAACGACTGAGATACAAGAGGATGTAGACGATGAGAAATGTGTAGGGACGATATGGGTGCAAACTAAATAATTTTTAAATTTCTCGGGGCTCCCCAGTCAAGTTAAACGTTGAGATGGCAAAACGAACATTTGGAACGCTTCAACAGCTTAAAAAACGTAATAGAAAATCACAGAGGATGAACGTATCCAAGAAGGAACTTTTGTGTCTTACCATTTAAAGGTGAGATTGCGGCTGCTGCCTTGACGAAACGCATGAAAGGCGCTGTTTAGAAGACCCATTCTGTGGTACGCCTGCGCATAGTATACCATAGTAAATTTTTACGCGTCAAACCTTTAAACGATAGACTGTCTAGATTGACTTATCAATGGTTGTTTATCAATACTTGTGCTCCTGTGGCGCCTATCTCATAGGATTCCCGAGCACATCCCGAAGTAGTTTTATAAAGGTGACGCGAGGACCTTTAATAGTTTCATCATGTCGCACTTTCTTGAGTATGGTTACGCAGGCTCTGAAGAGGACTTAAGAGTTATCTATTCCATTCGTGAGAGATTCTCGAGTGGATTCCGTAAACCTCTCCTATCTATTGTCGAAGCTATTTACATCCGCCACCTAAATCCGGAGCTGCGCGTACCGAAGCAATTCGTAGGCCAGTCACAGTTACCGTAGTTTAGATTTTACGGTACTTAATCATTGAGTACTACCTTTGTTAAGCCCTGATCGGGTGCGAAAATGATGCACTTAATTACCTTTCCTTGCGCTTAACCTACTACTCTCAGTGACTGTGAGTTAGCAATACGGCTGTTAAATTTAACAGTCTAATTAATATTCGCCCCAACTCGGCAAATTCACCATGTAATCCGCATTATGATAAATGTCCGAATCGGACGAGATTTGCGGAGAAGCATTCGTGTCTCCACTCTCATGTTAATAAACAGGAGTTTTTGGATTGTTAAAAGTAAGCATTCCTCATGATTCATGCAATATGAGCATATCTTTTTGTAACGAATCCAGGCGTCCAAAAGAACTTGTCGCTCCTGGATTCTTTACAAAAAGATATGGCCATGTTTGCTATAAAGCGGCCGTAGTTGAAGACAGGTGAGCCCGCCACATCAATCACCTCAGATGAATCCTATTCGACACAACAGAAGATGCATTGCCCATTCCTCTTGAAGTACCTCTGAACGAGTCAAGTTGACAATGACCGAGGCCACTTTCCAAGATGAGCCAACTACTCGGTAAAACTAGCAACGTTCGATGTGCGTACTTTACTGCAGATAGGACAGAAAGTCGAATTTGCACGCAGCTGGAAGAACTCTCGCAACTGATGTCCCGTGCACCATTGAAATACGACCAAAGAATTTCAACATAGCCTGTCAGTTGTCGTCACCACTCCACCCACACGCTTCAATTTCCGCATTTCTAGTTACGCTGAGTCAGTCACATCTGCGTAAGCCGGTGCTTAGATCGCACACGGTGTTCCAGCCAAAGCCGTACTCCTTCACTGGATTCCAGTCATCGGTGGTCTTTGTATTACGAGGCTCCGTGGTTGTCAAGCCGACGGGCGTAATCATTTTGTGATCCCCGCCTACACGCCCACTGATTACATCTCAGATACAATCAAGGATCAGATCTAACAAAATATGCATGATCTGTTTTTAAGAGCGCTGAAAACGGACAGCAGCGTTGTGGCAGGAGAGTTCAACTCAAGTGTCGGTCCGTTGATGCCATTCGTTGCGGGCCTGTCAAATATCCCCGCAAAAACGTCACAAACTCCGGTGTAGTGACTGTGGAAAGCGGAGTCCAATTCCTCCCCGCAACGTAGCAGAGTTCAGCCGCTCCGAGACGCGGCACAACTGCGCTCACGTTGACAATCTTCTTTTGTAAACTACCACCCGTCGTGGTAGCAATTTTCAGCAACTTAATGACCCATAGCACTGGCTGTGACTCGCCCTTTGTTGGTCGTAAAAGAACCTTCAGAGGACCACTTGCCTTTCTTTCTATTCGCCGTTAGTTGGGAGTCGGTCGGGTCACGTGACTTTCTGTGCGTCGATAGTCGGGCAGTGTTCGCGTCTAAGTAACTAGCGCGCGTCCACTGTAACCCTCTCTCGTGTGCGTCCGTTCCGAGGGCTCAGCGTCTACCCGAATACGTGCAGCTAGGAAAGTTCTCACGCTCGCTCGATTTCCGTCCCACCAGCGCGTACCTCGGGTTAAGCTAACGTCCTCAGGTTAGCGCGAATCTGTTCGATTGGCCAGTGTCCCAATCCGATACCGTAGGCATGCTCCAACTGTGCCAGTGACAAATTTATCAGGCGTTCTCTCAATCATAACACCATATGAACACCACTTCGGGAGGCCGCGTGGATAAGATATTGTTCCATCTGATAACGGGGAAAGTCTGGATACGCTATGTGCCGAACACCAGCTTTTCCACTTCGGTACAGGCTTTCGTCACCCTGGACACCGCTGTCACCTTGAGTCCTTCATCATCAAGCAAGCTTTGGTCGTAACCTGACCTTATAGATGTTAGTCGAAGGTGGCGTGGCACCATATGAGATGGTCAACTTGTACCGAAACCGATCATGCATTGTTATGTGCGACAGCTTGCATGCATTTCGGTGGTTCGCCCAGAGACAGATAAAGCCGACTGAGAACACGTAAAAAGAAAAAACCCGGTGGTGCACATGTAGTATCATAGAGGATTCGTGAAAACCTCGCTGCCTTCCCTCTTACGGATGTCGGCCAGCATGGCTTGTAGTAAGCCATGCCCAGCTATCAGCCAGAGAACCTGAGTTAGATAGTACGAAAACCACCAACTTATGAAGGCACTTCGAGCACCGAACAAAGTACTTCAAGTTAAGTGCTCAGCACAGCCCTGTGATACTACCACTTTTATTGGATGGTGCCTGACATGTCCCCACAGATCGTCTTACCGAAAAGCAACGCTCTATTCAAAGATGGAGGAAACATACCTGTCAAGGAAGTTCTATGGCTGTTGATGAAGCTTTGAACCAACGAGGATGTTTCCGGTTCACAAAAAGTGTTCCCACGACGACTGCGACAATTACTTTAGAATTTCGTGGATCTTCGTTTTGTACAAAATTTTCGTGTCCATCATAATTCACAGACATTCAGAGATTAAAAAGGGTTTTTACAGAGAGGAACAAGCTGGTTTTCGTTCAGGCCGAGGATGCATTGACCAAATGTTCACACATCGACCACCAACAATTGCACTGTTCCTGAACATCTGAACATCATTTGATTCAGTAGATAGGTCTGCGTTGCGGAAATGTCAACAAAGGAGAGTTGTGCTCGATGAGTTTGTAGCCATCTTAAGGGAACTTTAGAGTCACATATTTGGCAGTTAGGAGTTACGACAGGTTCTCTTCTCTGTTTGTCGTCAACATTTTCGTTCGCCAAGGTTGTGTAGCAGTCTGGAGATTACACGGGTTTGCTTGTGTAAAATTCTAACTAGAATTATTATTTCATTGTACACTTAAACGACCGTTGCAAGTTGTTAAACTGATTGTTAAGTTCGATTGCTTGAGTCGAGCATCGCACTTTGCTTGGTGCCGTATTCATGATGGATGCAGATCCATCACTACTGGTGTTGTTTACAGAGCGCCATCGGGATCTGGAGCTCACTTGCTCGATTTGATCCGGAAACACGGTGCAGGGAAGGACAGTCTTATCGTGTGGGATGTTAATGCCCCTAATATCGATCAGGACTTACTTCTTTGTGGTCGTCCACCTGATTCCTTTGATGCTACCTTACTTGAGACTGTTATCGATTGTAATTTGTTTCAGGTCGGCTGGTGGCCGAGTGGTCTGCCGGTGGTCACCGGTTCGAACCCGCGTAGGGTTGGGTGTCCTCGCGGTATACTCAGCCCGCGCGCGACTGGTGGTGGTCGCGCGGCAGCGAAGCGCCGTTACGGCGTACAGCTGACACATTAGTTTATAACATTTCGATTACAAGACGCGACCGCTGCGAATCTGTCATTCCCTTAGCTAGCAGCGTCCAACAGTGCCGTTTTGCATAGCTAGGCAAAAAGGGAACCTTTTACTGTACAACTAAAGTTTCCTTGCAACTCGATCTGCCTCCTGGAATCGCAATCTGGGCTTTCGTTAAAGTTGTCCTATGTCATCTTTTCTCTTCAATTCCGCCATCAGATGTGTCCCATGAGATGTGTAAAGTGCCCAAAACTGCGGCGTTGAACCTTCCTCTAGCAAATGAGTCGCGCACTCGGGTTAAGCCAGTGATATGGTCTTGCTGGGGGACGATCCCCAATACGGGCAATATTTCACTCGTCAAATATAAAACAATACTCTATGCATATCAGGTACCCGTGCTTGGGGTCAATATTTCCGGTTGGTGTCCCGGAACAAGCCGATTGATTTACTTGTCCATGCAGTTGCATCATGGCTGGTGGCAGTATTGGGGATGAGGTGTCACAACGGATCGAAAAGGCCCGCCTTACAGTTACCAAAGTAAGATACCTACGGCACTATAGCGACATCAGTCCCAATCTCAAGGGCAGAGTGTACAATGCCTAAGTCTGTACAGTCCTGTTGTATGGCTATGAAACCGGGCCTGTTCGCTAGGAAGGCATAAAACGATTGTCAGGTTTTGACAACCGTTATCTCCGAAGGATACCCAAGTATGTTGGCAACATCACGTGAGCGATAAGGAAGTTCGTGATCGAGTGCTTAGTGCAGTCTCTACCTGCAAAACTTTATTCTGCGACACCGCATGCACTGACTCGGCCACGTATGGCATATGCCAGCCTCCGCACTTGGCGTTGTGTTGCCAAACACGAATGAAAAGTGCAGTGATGGACAAGCAACAATGTGAAAATGAAACATAAAGTAGGTAACTTCAAGTTTAGCATCAGGCAAAAGACCACGGGACACCAACTTCCAGTGGTCAGGAATGTTGATATTATGGCATACCACAAATATCAGCGGTAGCGGTGTTGTTCTACCGTATCATGAACTAGTCAATCATCATAATCATTACATAAAGCTGTAGGTGAGTAACACACTACAACCATTGCGCCACAATACATAAAGATAATACATACGAAAAAGCAAGACACTGAAAATTATAGAATGTAAAAAACAGGCGACAGACTACTTAGTAGCATATTATGCGTCAAGGGGGAGATCGTGGTTGAAGGGGGAAAATAAGCCGGATGGGGAGGGAGAAAGAAAGTCACAACACAAACGCCATTACGGTCGACTCCTTGCCATGGCAGCTAGGGTATCCAACCAGACGTGTGCATCGTCCTTCGGTCCACAGCCAGGCAGTCGGGGCACACCAACCGACGTCAGCTTCGAAGTGAGAGGTTTCATTTCTCTCGACCAAGTCACCGCATGGCCTCCTCTGCTCTTTTTCCAACCACACCCCGGCGCGAAAACAACGCACGACGCGGGGGGCAGTGCGCTGGCATGCGCAACGTGGCCCAGCCATCGGAGCCTGGTGCGTGAAATAACGGTGCTGAGTGGTTCACTCACTTTTCCTGCACCAAATACATGACGCCAAACACTTTCATTGCTTACGCGGTGCTCGCCGATAAATATGGCGGTGCTCCAATAATTGACGTAGCGTGAAAATGTGGTCGATGCAGCCCCGACCTCGACGAAATCCGGCTTGCTCCTCGTGAATCTGGGTTTCACGTGCACCAGCAAGTCTATGAAGAACGACAGATGTGACTTAGACACAAGTGAGTTCAGGTTGATCACTCTATGATTGCCGCTTTTAGAACGTGAACCTCCTTGATAATTGGGACTTCTACGGAACGGTTGGTATTTTTCTACTCCCACAGCTTCACAGTTGCGTAAATCATATATAAGAGCAGGACCCCCGAATTTGAAGAGCTGGAGGGATTCTATCCGGTCATGGGGCTTTATTTACTTTCAACAGTCCGAACTCACGTTCGACTTCTGCGCGCCCATGGGGACGGTCCATGGAGGACGAGCAATGGTCGAAGAAGAAGCTGGTAACTCTAGCTAAGTAAGCTGATTTTCAGTGTTCGGCCGGACGCTCCGACTGTTTTGACAAAGTGTGGATCGGCCGTCCACCCTCATCACATATGGTCTCGCAAACACCAGGTCTGCTACGACCCGTTTCGCGCACCAAACGGAAAAATATCCGATGGTTACCAAGAGCAGCAGTGTAAATTAAAACAGATGTCCCGCCACTTTATCCTTCCAACAATTTAAAAGCGCAACTCTGAAACAAGTTTCTCATGCAATTGCAGCTATGCTTCGCTCTAGATGCATCAACACAAGCTAAAAGTCTGCGTTAACCTGCACTGAGCCGCGTAACTCAGCTGCAGGACAAAATTGGCAAAGAAGAAAAGCATAATCAGAATTCGACGTACAATAATCAATTAGGTGCGAATACCAAACAATGAAAAAGACTACGCACCCGAAGTGAAATCATGCGTTTAGAGCCTTGGAAAATCCGCACATGTCCGCAAACACGCGTGTAAGACAATTCATGGAAGCGGTTCACTCGCTCTTCCTGCACCAAATACGACGCCAAACAGATTCATTGCTCACGCGGTGCTCTCACCAGACATGGGCTAAGCTGCGAAAGCAGCGATGATCGAACGTAACTATCCTCTTTATGTCGGCTGATCTAATGGACCAGGTATCGCAAACATACAGTACGGTTGAAAGAACGGCTGCATTGTAAACCCTGCCCTTCCGGGCAAGAGTTATATCGCGCCGGCGCCACAAGTGGCGGAGATTGGCAAAAGTGCCTAGAGGTTTTGATATGCGGTCTGGGGTCTAACCTTCTATTCCATTGGTGCTGATATAGCTGCCTAGATATTTGAATTTCTCGACGAATTCTAGCTGTTATCAACCAAGGGTCCGCGCAATAGTGGGTCCATGCCAACGTTGGAGAAGGACTTCACACTTCCAGGATGCAAAGCAAAGACCAAAACGACTGACAGCCAGTGCTAGTTTATCCAATATCACTTGGCACATTTGAAAGCTGTCACAGATAAGGGCAATGTTGTCGACGAACTCCAAATCAAGATGCCGATCACCTGGGAGCAGCTTCATGCCTTGCAAGTCGTGTCCAGTGAATATAGTTTCCATGATTTCGTCGGTGAAGTTAAAAAGGAAAGATGACAACGGGTATCCTTGTCTCACACCGCTGGAAATATTGAAGGGCTGCGATAATTTGCCGTAAGCTCTCACTCTACCCGAGCTATGCGCGTACAGCACTCTTACGATTTTTACATATTTCTTGGGCGCAGCTTTTATCAGCAGATAGTCAAAAAAGGTACATCGATCCACCTATTCGAAGGCACCTTTGATGTCCAGGAACAAGATAACGCAGTCATAAGTGTAAATTAAGACAGATGTCCGACAATTTTATCATTCCAACAATTTAAAAGCGCAACTCTGAAACAAGTTTCTTTTGCAATTGTAGCTATGCATCATCAGATGCATCATCAGGAGCTAAAGGTCTGCGTTAAACTGCACTGATCCGCGTAACTCAGCTGCAAGACAAAATTGGCAAAAAAGAAAAGTATAATCAGAATTCGACGTACAATAATCAATGAGATGCGAATACCAAACAATGAAAAAGACTACGCACCCGAAATGCAATTATGTGCTTAGAACCTTGGAAAATCCGCACATGTCCGCAAACACGCGTGTAAGATAATTCACGGAACGGCCTTGATTGTGGAACTGCTTGAGGAGTGTCCTATGAAGCAAGATAGTACAACAAGCATTATGAACCAACTTGATCTTCAAGGAACAATTTCACTGGCATATAAGGACCAGTGTAGTCATCGATTTCATATTCGATACGTGTGGCTGATTCGGTAACGGAGCGCACAACGCCAACTACCGTTACTTGTGAAAACTCGATACCCGCAGGGGAAATGAAGCGGTCGCCTTCCTGTGTGGCAGCCAGAATTTCAGCACATGTACAAGGCACTACATTACCAAGGTTGCCGGGTTTCTGGCACAGTATTTTAAAAAAAGCAACGCGCGATTACTTTTGCTATCGAAGAACCAGCTGTGGATGCCATATATCCCCCTCCATAGTCAGGGCCAGCTGGGAAGCCACCGAACTCTAAAAAGTACAATTAATAAACAAGAGAAGCGATACCTGTTGACGACCACATGGGTAGAAATCAATGAAATAGCTACAAGAGTGAAACAAAGAAATAGGGACGATAAACAGGGTGCGATGGCGAAAGACAAGCGAAGGAATTGGGAGTCATGATGTCCAATTGAGTTTATCTAAAAGTTAGCTAATGGAAAGGAAATTGAAGAGATTTATGCAAACTGACCAACTAACCACAAGATAGACCAAGTCGAAGTTACTCAGAGTGCAGTGGAGTTTCTTAAACAATAGTGAAAAACATGCAAGACTTGAGATCGGTTTGAAGAGAATGAAAGAGCGCTAAGATATGAATGCTCTTAGGTTTAGAACGAAGTTTAACAAGTGTGCGATATGGGCAAGATAGTCTCATCACCACAAATGGTTCGATGACAAAGGGGGTTTCAGTATAGAAGCAACGTAATATCCTGCCTGAAAACCGGGTTGCATTTTGCAGATTTAATGACCTTTGCGAAGTCGAAAAGCGGGCAGAACATGATTTCATTCGCAAAAAATAGTGCTCAATACCGTAAAGTATCGGAGCGGTAGGTCACCAATTAAAATGTCAGAGGCGATTTCAAGATATATCAATCATTGGTGACTTCAAAGCGTTATTTTTGTCGGATCACACCAGCACGTTGCTATGATGTAGAGCTTATGCCGTCGCATCGACAGACAGGACTGCGTAGGGTGAGTTGTGTGGGACACATATCAGGTAAGCCAGCCCAGCGCTTGGGGGGAAGAATCCCGCTTGGCTGACATACAGGATGATGTAAGGTTCGAGAGAGACAAACGTTGATCTGACAGGAGAAAAGTACATCTAGGACCACTGAACTGGGTGCTGCCGGATGGTCACAACTCTAAGCTTGGTGCCCGTGATCTTCCGTGTCAGTCTACACATCACAGTAGTTATTAAGCAAATGGTGGCAGTGAAGTGCTTGTTATCGCATAAAGTGGGCAATAAGTCTACAGTAAGGTGGTACTACAACGGTTTAGCCCACGTCTATCTGGGTAATAGTTACTCATGTCGGCCTGGAAATTGCGTTAATTCCCTTACGCTATTCAATATGGAGATTTTTAGTATCGAGTTATCAGATTTTCAGCGAATTCAGATCCTATGAAAGGCGCTACAATTTATGATATATATATATATATATATATATATATATATATATATAATCGTCAGCCCTCGGTAGCTCAGGTGGTAGAGCAGTGGACCGGAAATTCGTGGACCGGGGTTCGACTCCCCGTCGAGGCATATTATTGTGCGTGAATTTTAATCGTGACTTCTACTTTCTACGAACTTTACACTTCTCACAAACATCCACCATTAATCTACCATCGCCCATTGGACGTCTGAAGGACAGGAACTTCGGTCTATTGGGAAGTGACGGGTGAGTGAGCCAATCTGCAACATCCGGATAGGTACTGTGAGCTTATTGACAATACGTCGCGCACCAAGCAGAAGATATGTATTAAAATTTGCGCACCTAATCGTCAGCCCTCGGTAGCTCAGGTGGTAGAGCAGCGGACCGAAAATTCGTGGACCGGGGTTCGACTCCCCGTCGAGGCATATTATTGTGCGTGAATTTTAATCGTGACTTCTACTTTCTACGAATATATATATATATATATAAGGAACACTTAACAAACTACAAATGGCTGAGTGCCATAACGTATGGACAAGGATAAAACAACAGTAATGAAAGAATAGGGGATTACAAAGTGTAGAACAACAGTTATGGGGGTAGAGTCTTACAACAGGTTCGCCACTGTTCACGCTTTCTTGACATATCCGACAGGGTTTCCAGCCATTTGTGCTCATGATCCTTGCGCTCCCAACAAGGGAGCCGAGAGCGCACGACCGCGGCCATATGTGAGGTCAATGCGTTCATAATTTTGGTCCATATCACTCGCTGACAACCTTGTTTTCATTTCAAGTTGAATTCTGCGCGTGCAAAGAGTGCATGGTGAGCCAAACGCTAAGTAGGTATGCGAAGCACGTGCCCAAGCCACCGAAGACTATGCAGTGAAATCACGCGGCTCAGCGGCCGGCAAAGTCTGTCCGATTTGAAAATCCTCCGGCGAACATCCGCATTACTAATGTGATGCTGTCATCATACGCCAGTAATGCCCCAGGGGAAACAATGATCAAAAAGACAGCCTATAAACGTCCCTTGCATCAACAGACCAAGCCACAAAACCGTACAGCAGAAGCGCTGGAATTTTCGACCTCAGCACATTCATGCTTCGATAGTGGGGCTATGGATGAAAGTCCGAATTAAAGGATTGGACGGGTATAGGAGGTGAAGAAAAGCCTGAGTAGCTGCAATGACATTCTAGAGAGTGAACTCCCTATACTACACCACACCCTGTTCGCCGCAGCAGTTTTCTTTGTCATGGGTAGCTTTGAGATCAGAGGATACTACTGCCCCAGGTCCTTTTCTTGAGTTGCAGGCTTGAGAAAGTACCCGCCAATGTGATAAATGCCCAGTGGTTCCGCAGCACCGATGGGAAGCACAGAGCACTTATCATGGTTGACCGGCAAACCCTACTTGACAGAGCAGACGTGCAGCTGATTAAGCGTTTTATGTAATCCGTCGGCGTCTTCGAGACAGGACACTTTCGACAAAAGCTTGAGGTTGTCTGCATAAATCGGACAGTCCGTTTGTAGCACACTTGATAGGTCATCCTCATCAACAGCAGCCTATCAGCCATTTGAACTGATGCTTCGCTGCCATACAACCAACGAAAAGATGAAGAATAAGAGGGAGAGAAATGGGATTTAGCAGAAGACCTTAGTTCCCTAAGCAAACATGCAGGGTCAAGGTGACTACACCTTGTCAACTACATGCAATCATAAAACTGGTTATCGTACAAACATAAGGTGATATCAGCAAGACAGCTTCCTTGCGGCTTTCACTGCCCCGCGTCATAATCAGCCATTACCCTGCAGATAACTCCGCACCAAACACACTTTAAACAGGCAATCCGACTAGGAGACGGCAGCAGACGCGCCACTGGCGCCGGCTGCGAGCCATATACTTTAACATTTCAAGTCAAGCACAAGGCGAGTCACGTGGACTCCTGACTGAAAGGCGAGACGGACAAACCGTAAGAAGTTTGATAGTCAGTGGCTTCATTCCTCGCTGCCAAGTCAACTTTTGTCCACCTGGAGTCTTGCGCCACTCTACACCTGGCAGACTAAACAAGGCCCTCCTCCGTAAACGGTGACCGGGCCTACATAATACGCGCCAAAGCCGACGTAACTTAATCACTGCCAATTGTTGTTCCAAGGAACTAGCTTGGGCATCATTGCCTAGCACTCGCATACGCACATCATCGTTGCGGATACGCTGGTGTCAGTCGATACCAGCAATGCTCCGCAGACAACGATGATCCAAGACTTGAAAGACGCCTCAAACCGAAGGCGCCAAGTCCCATTACCCTCACTGATGCCTTGTAAACACGGCTTTTGAAACGGAAGGAAACTCCTTTCTGTCACCAAAGACAACACAGATTCAAGGAGGCAGTTCTGGCTTTTGCAATACGTGAACTGGCTTCAGCTGCTATGCGCAAACATCGTTAAACAGCAAGACAATATCGTTCGCGCAATCAGGATCAACTGGTCTTTCACCAGACAGCATGTCAATGCCTGCATCGTGAAGTTCCGCAATGGAACAATCTATGATGCAGTCCACGACAAAATCGAACAAAAATGGGGAAATTGGACAACGCTGATGAACGCCACTTGTTATCGGAAAGGCATACGACAGGTCAGCGTAGATTATGACGCAGTTTGTAGAGTTCGAGTACAGAGCACGTACAGTGTCCACAAATTTCATGGGAACACCTTTCTACTCAAGTATTTCGAACAGAATGCACCGATCGACGGAATCAAGCCCAGTAATATGCAAGACGCTGCTCCAGCACCAACAGCAGAGTGAAGAATATGTGGTCTATGCAGTCACATCCAGGGCGGAAACCTGCCCGCAGTGAGGCGAAGAACGAGAATCGATGCCAGTAATTTTGTCACAACTGGCAGTAGGTTACTACCCCTGTGGTTAGCACAGTCGGTGCGACTGTCCTTCTTGTATATTGCCACTATAATCGACTCAATCGTTAGACGAGACGGTCTCCTTCCATACAGTTTCGAACAGTGAAATCAGTGCTTTGCAGAGGACATCACCTCCATACATAAATAGTGAATGGGAGAGGGAATCCGGGTCAGCAGCTCGTAAATGACTAATGGCTGTGGCCGCACTTCGGATTTTGGCCTCTGATGGAACTTCGAAACTAACCGTCCACGGCTTATCCTGTATCATCTGGGTACGAAGAGGTCCGGAAGCAGGGGGCCAACTGAACTGATCTTGAAAGTGTTCCATTAAACGAGCCATACGGTGTTCCTTATGGCGAAGCGGTGCACCTACGTTGTCTCTGATTGTCTGACAGACGCCAGGTTATCTAGGACAAGTGGTGCGGATCAGCTGGAAGAACATGCGATAGTTCTCATCTGCTCCCGCCCCCTTCATTTCTTGAGCCCGACTGGCTGCCTTGTTAGCGTGCAGGTGTCGTTTCAGTTCACGCCGAATGGTCCGTCTTATCACTTTAAAAAACCTTTGTTCCCCTGCACCCATTTCGTCAAAGCAGAAAGAAGACATAGATAGCGATATGTCACGTTATAATTGAGGGAACGCCGCCTCTGTTATGATTGCGTAATTGCCTGATAAGATTGTCGCTGGCACGGTTGCAGCACTCCTGCGATGACGACTTGTAACGCTGGCCAATCGAACGGAGTTGCGCTGACCTCATGACGCTAGCTTAGCCGGTGAGACGGAAAATTGAGCGAGCGTGTGAACGATCCTAGCCGCACGTGTTCGGATAGACGCTGAGCCCTCGGAACGGACGCACACGAGAGGGGGTTACAATAGACGCGCGCTAATGACTTAGACGCGAAGGCTGGCCAGCTAACGACGCACACGCAATCACGTGACCCGACCTACTCCCAAGTAAGGCGGAGAGGAAAGAAAGACAGGCGGTCCTC